TTTCCCCCATTTCATGGATTTTTTTTTTGTTTTTTGTTTTTTGTTTTCTATTTCTTTAAGGGATTTCCTCGTTTCCTCTTTGAGCGTTTCTATCACCTTCATAAAATAATTTTTAAGGTCTGTCTCCTCTGCTTCGTCTATGTAGTGCTTTTCAGGTCTTGCTGGCGTTGGTTCTCTAGATTCTGGTGGAGTCATGTTGGTCTTTCTATTGCTGAGTGAGCTCTTATTCTGTCTTCTTCCCATCTCTTCTTCCAGTGGGAGCAGGTGGGGTCTTTCCGTCTCCTCGTCTCCTCTGGTCTCCTTCTTTCCTGAGCTGAATGAAGCTGGGGATGCTGACAGCAAAGCTGGAGCTGGGGTTGCTGGAGGTTGGGGCCTGGAAGGGCTGATGCCTTTCCTGTGTGGGCGGGTCTTCTGGATGCCAGGAGCTGGGCCCAGGAAGATTGAGGGGATGGGTGTTGGGCGGGGGATGGGGGAGTGCCCCCCCCAGAGACCCAGGCTCACCTGAAGCTGGGGTCGCCAGGCTAAATTTTGTCTAGCTTTAGCTTGCACAGATCTTGTACATGTTGCCAAAATCTCTATGAGTTCATATATGCATCTGCCCTGTTTTTTTTCTTTTATCATTTTTTATTTTAATTTTAAATAGCTTGTTTTACATGTCAATCCCAGTTCCCTCTCCCTCCTCTCCTCCCGCACTCCCCTTCCCCCCCAGCCTCCCACCCTATTGCCATATCCTTCCACATAGGGGATATCTAGAGTCTGTCATTTCACTCTGGGTAGGGTCCAGGCACTCCCCTAAGAGTTCAGGCTGAGAGAGCATCCCTCTTTGTGCTATGGGCACACGATGACTGTTTGTATTCCAGGGATAGACACTGATCCACAGCTCAGGGCCCCATAGGTTGCCCAGGCCTTCTTGCTGACACTCACATTTGGGGGGGTCCAGATCAGTCCCATGCTGGCCTCCCCGCTGTCAGTCTGGGGTCCAAGAGCTCTCCCCTGTTCAGATCAGCTGTCTCTGCTGGTTTTGCCAGCCCATTCTTTGCCAATTTGCTCATCACTCCTCTCTCTGTCACTGGGTTCCTTGGGTTCAGTTCAGTGCTTAATTGTGTGTTTACCTCTGCTTCCATTAATCACTGGATGAAGGCTCCCGGATGGTTATAGACATCAAGTTCATTGTCAGGAATGGGCATTCGAGGTGGTCTCTCCACTATTGCTTAGCTTGCCAATTGGTGTTATACTTTTAGATCACTCGAGGTCACTCTGGTGCCTGATCTGTCTTCTAACCTATGATTCCCTCTTTCCCCTATTCTACCCCCACCCACTCAACTTCCTATTCCCCCATGACCTACTCTCTCTTCCTCTTCTCCCCCTCTCTTCTTCCCAGCTCCCACTCCCCCCCCCATCCCTTGCCGTGTTCCCCATCCATTCAGAGGATCTTGCCTCATTCCTCTTCTCTTGGATACTATGCATATCTTTAAGGTTCTTTCCTGTTTCCCAGACTCTGTATCAGTGGAAGTACAGACTGGCACTATCCTGATCCATGTTTAAAATCCATATATGAGTGAGTATATATCATGTTTGTCTTTTTGTGACTGGGTTACCTCACTCAGGATGGTTTCTTCCAGTGCTATCCATTTCCCTGCGAATTTCAAGATTCCATTGTTTTTTTCTGCTGAGTAATACTCCATTGTGTAAATGTACCACATTTTCTCTATCCACTGTTCAGTTGAGGGGCATCTAGGTTGCTTCCAGGTTCTGGCTATTACAAATAATGCTGCTATGAACATAGTGGAGCAGATGCCCTTGTTGTATGAATGTGCACCCTTTGGATATATGCCTAAGAGTGGAATTGCTGTGTCTTGTGGTAGATTAATTCCCATTTTCCTGAGGAATCTCCATACTGATTTCCAAAGAGGCTGTACGAGTTGGCACTCCCACCAGCAGTGGAGTAGTGTTCCCCTCTCTCCTCATCCTCTCCAGCATAAATTGTCTTCGCCGTTTTTGATTTTAGCCATTCTGACAGGAGTAAGATGGTATCTCAGAGTTGTTTTGATTTGCATTTCCCTGATGGCTAAGGATGTTGAGCACTTTCTTAAGTGTCTCTTGGCCATTTTAGACTCCTTTATTGAGAATTCTCTGTTTACTTCAGTACCCCACCTTTTAATTGGATCCTTTGGTGTTTTGGAGACTTGTTTCTTGAGTTCTTTGTAAATTTTGGAGATTAGCCCTCTGTCAGATGTGGAGTTAGTGAATATCTTTTCCCATTCTGTGGACTGCCTTTTTGTTTTGTTGACTGTGTCCTTTGCCTTACAGAAGCTTTTTAGTTTCATGAGGTCCCATTTGTTAATTGTCGATCTCAGTGTCTGTGCCACTGGTGTTATGTTTAGGAAGTGGTCTCCTGTACCAACTAGTTGAAGAGTATCTCCCACTTTCTCTTCTAAAAGTTTCAGTGTGGCTGGATTTATGTTGAGGTCTTTGATCCATTTGGACTTAAGTTTTGTACAAGGCGATAATCATGGATCTATCTGCAGTCTTCTGCATACCAGTACCCAGTTATGCCAGCACCATTTGTTGAAGATGCTTTCTTTTTTCCACTGTACAGCTTTAGCTTCTTTGTCAAAAATCAAGTGTTCATAGGTGTGTGGGTTAAAATTAGGTCTTTCAATTCGGTTCCATTGGTCTACCTGCCTATTTTTGTGCCAATACCAAGCTGTTTTCAGGACTATAGCTCTATAATAGAGCTTGAAGTCAGGTATGGTGATGCCTCCTATCTAGAGAAAGTTTCCTTGAAGATACCACCACCTCTGGCTCTTATAGTTTTTGCCCCTCATCCATGAAGATTCCTGAATCATGAAGGGGATGGGGTTATAATATGAACATGCCATTTAGTGCTGAAGACTCTTAAATCCCGTACTCTGCATGTTGACTGGTTCCCACTTTAGGTTTTGAGATGGTATCTCTAACTGAGCCAGTGAGCTCCAGATATGTCTGTCCCACCCAACACTGGGATTGACAGACAGATATTTACATTGTTACAGGTTTTCCAAGTGTGCTCCCTTTGCACCATGTTCTTTGTTCTACTTATATCCATTCTTAGGTAACATAGGAGAACCTGTGTGACTAGAATCACATGCAGGTCTTACTTTGAGCTCAAAGTACCCATTGATTTACTGCAAGTTCATGATTTGGTTATTAAGAAGGTGACAGGACTGTGATATGGCCTGACCTTCATCTGCAAGAGCTTTTAGTCTAGCACAGATTCTGTCGGTGTTTACTAATTAATTTGCTATGTTTCCCGTAGTTGTTTGCTGTTTCAAATGAGTTTTTAAACCATATACTCTTTTACATTTACAAATTGATCTTCATTTAGCATGTTCTGTCCATATTTTGATCCTCTTTGAGTCTGTTTTGTCAACAGGTCCAGATTTAGTGTCACTGTCAGAATTTATTACCATGAGATTTACTCCCTATTTTAGGTCATTAAGTCCATTGCTAGAACTGGAGGTGGTGGCGCACACCTTTGATCCCAGCACTCAGGAGGCAGAGGCTGGTGAGTCTCTGTGAGTTCCAGTATAGCCAGGGCTATGTAGAGAGACCTCATTTCAAAAACCAAGCAAGAGAATATTTCCAGGAAGGAATTTATTCACTAATTTTCTTGAAAATAGTGCTATTTTTCTGACTTGTCTTTATGGTGTTAGTCTAACTAAAAAAAAAATGGGTTCGATATAGTTATTAACATCATTGGCTAACTAGCCACACTGTATAGTTTTTCAGCTGCCTATGATGTAGAATTGAAAAGGAACCTGTAGTCATGCTCTCTGGGAAACTATTGCCTCTTGTAATTGAAACCTGGAATATTGTTACCTATTGCTGGAGATAGTTTGACTTTGTACTCCAAGTTGGCCTTCAATATCCTCCTGTCCCAGCCTTAGAATGTGTGCCACAGTGCCCATTTCAAGACTTGGCGTTTTAAAACACTTATCTCACAGTGTCTCTGCGTCAGCATTTTGAGTATAATCTAAGTGAGAATGCTATCAGGATGGGTTATGGGTGGTAGTCACCAGGATGGGTAGGCTGCAGCCATCACGGGGTAAAGCAAGGGAAGAATCCACGTTTGTTCTGATGGCTGATAGAAGGTTCTGTACATAGGAGAGTTCCTTGCTAGTATTGATATCTATTTTTTACAGAAGCTGCTTTCATTCTCTGCCAGGTGGTCCTTTCCATGGGGTAATAGGGTGGATGCTTCTTGGTGCCAAGCAAACAGGGAGAGACAGAGAGGAACTATCTTTCATCACTTTGCTGTGTTCTTTTGGTTAGAGGCAAGAAAGTATATCCAGCTAAATCCTAAAGGGAGGTAAATAATCAATAGATGCAGAGATAATTGGGAGTTATTTTAGAAGTATCTTCATTACCAGGCAGTGGTGGTGCATGCCTTTAATCACTGCATGCAGAGGCAGGCAGAGGCAGAGGCAGAGGCAGAGAGATCTCTGTGAGTTCGAGGACTACACAGTGAATCCCTTTCTCGAAAAACCAAGTCAAAAAAAAAAAAAGCTTCTGCATTTGGTTTGGTTATCATTTAGGGATTCTAGGTTTTCCAGTTTTTTGTAAGTGAGATGTGTATTCTTTAATTTCAGAAGGACTTACTGGCAATACCATTTTATTCCATGATCTTCCTTTAAATTTAGAGTGAGGTAATAGAAATTGCTCACTATAGTGTTATCTAATAATCTCATTCAAGATGTAACTTTATGGATTGTTTTTTTATATATATAGGCTGGCCTTAAAATCATTATATAAGTCCTTGACCTCCTGATTCTCTGCCTCTTCCTCCCAAGTTCAGGGATTATGGGCAAGTGCCACCACTCCCTAGTTAAACTTTAGTTTTTGTTATGATAAAGTATACATATTTGCCTTCTTAAGTATTGAAGTAAACAGTTCAGTGTTGTTAATTATGTTTGTTAATTAACTTTTTACCTCAAACTGGATCTTTTCCCCCCTCTCAGAGTTGTAAAACCGGTAAGATCAAGTGCCTATTGAAAGAGACTCACTCTTGGCTGAGAAGAGAATTAGGAACTAGGTTGGTATTGTTTATACTTAAGAATGAGATGGGATTGCTAGAAATGGATATTAATTTTTTAAGTTACATTTATTTATTTATTTATGTGTGTGTGTGTGTGTGTGTGTGTGTGTGTGTGTGTTTTGCCTTTTTCTGTTAGTAATATTTGAATTAGGAAGACAGGTCAGTTGGCAAAGTACTTGCTTGAGTACAAGGCCCTAGTTTGATATCCAGAACCCCATAGAAATGCCAGGCATGGTGGTTCTCTCCTTGTAACCTCCCTGCTGCTGGGGCAGAAACAAGGATACCTGGGGCTTGCTGGCCTGCCAGTCTAGCCTAGTCACTGAGCTCCAGGCCAGTGAAAGACTGTCTCAAAGGAGATGTTCCTGAGCGTCTGAGGTGGGGTCACTGTTGCTGTGATGACACACCATGACCGAAGCAATGTGAGGAGGAGAGGGTTTATTCAGCTTATGCACATCACAGTTCATTGTCAAAGGAAGTCAGGCAGCAGCCACTCATGCAGGACAGGAATCTAGAGCTAGGAGTTGATACAGTGGACATGGAGGAGTGTTTATTTCTTGTTCCTCATGACTTTCTTGCTTTCTTATAGCATTCAGGACTACCAGCCAAGGGATAGCACCACCCACAGTGGGCTGAGCCCTCCCCTATTAATCACTGATTTAGCTACAGATCTGCCTACAGCTGGGTCTTATGGAGTCATTTTCTCTACTGAGACTCTCTCCTCTTTGACTATATCACATCAGGTTGACATAAAACTAGCCAGTACACTGAAGATGACATCCAAGGTTGTTTTCTGGCCTCCACACATGCAACATGTTAAAAAGTCACTCTGATATTTTTCTCTCTTATTCATGGAGTAAGTTATAGTTTCCATCTCAATTAGGCTTTATGCTCTCTATTTTCTATAGGTATACTATTCTTTTATTGTTTTTCTTCCTTTACAAAACAATATCACAGCCAGGTGTTGGTGATACATACTTTTAATTCCAGCACTTGGGAGGCAGAGGTTGGCAGATCTCTGTGAGTTCGAGTCCAGCCTGGTCTACAGAGCGAGTGCCAGGATAGGCTCCAAAGCTATACAGAGAAACCCTGTCTCGAAAAATAAAAAATAAACAAACAAATAAATAAATAGCAATGTCATATAGCATTTTGTCACAGCCTTTTTCTGCCTACGTAATGAATCCCTATGCATTTGAAGTGCATCTTGTAAGATTTAGGTGAGATTTTTTAGCAGGTACAGGTGCTAGCTGCCAATCCTGACAGCTTGAGTTCAGTCACCAGAATTCACACGGTAAAAGAATGGGACTCAGTCATGCAAGTTATTCTCTGACTTACTTGAACATATACCAACACATACACCCCCCCTCTCTCTGTCGTAAAATAAATGAATGGTATTAAATTGTATTCTAAACCTATTAAACTATAAGTCATTGCCAGGTCTGGTAATTCATGCCTGTGATACAATTAATTTGGAGGCTAAGCAGGAGAACCACAAGTTCAAAGCCATCTTGAATTACAGAATAAGTTCAAGACCAGTCTGAACAATAAAATAAAAAGAAGACTAAGGATATAGCCTAATGGTAGGGTCTTGCCTAATGTGCACAGGACCCTAGGTTCAAAACGGTAGAGTGTTATAAATTGGCTGCCATGTCTTTTTCTCTGGCAGTGTGTACTCAGGATACTGGTCTAAGTGTGAGCGATGGATGCTCACACTTCCTCTGTGCTATTGCAGTTATTGTAAATATGTGCACTGTCTTTGTGGAGGCTGGTCCTCTGTATTAGAAAGATCATGTATGATACACAGTTATTGTAAATATGTGCACTGTGTCTTTGTGGAGGCTGGTCCTCTGTATTAGAAAGATCATGTATGATACACAGGTTTTGGAATGTAGTTATAGGGGGTCCCCTACCCTTCTGAGGAAGCAATATAATGTATAGAATCAGCATGCTTCTTGAGGCTAGCATATTATTTGTGTTAATTAGCTCTGCTGTCTGCTGTTTTCTTTTGCTTTAGATTAAATGGAAACCACCCTTGGGAACTAGATGCCTGTGTAGCTGTTTTACCACATCGGTGTTTTGCAATGAGTGGGGGAGGAGAGCAGCCAGATATCCTCAGTGTTGGAATCTTGGTCAAAGAAAGATGGAAAGTGGTGAGTATAGAATGGAGACAGGGAAGAGGTGGGGCAGGGAAGGAAAGAGAGGGAACCAAGCATATAGGGTTATAAAATTTGGTATTCTGATAAAAGTAGCATTTTAAAGGAATGACACCTATGTTTGTATTTGCCTAAAGCAGGTATTTTGGCTTTTTTCCCCTATGACAAAATACCATACACATAAAATATAAACATGTAAAAGTAAATAAGCAAAATGAGTCAGCCGATAAAGGCACTTGCCTCCAGACCTGATGCCATAGCTCCATCCCAGGATCCCACATAGTGGCAAGAGAAACCTGACTTCCAGAAGTTGTTTTTTGACTACCACATGTGCACCTTGGCATGCATATACCAAGTTCATGTGTGTATGAACACACAAAGACACGGTAATAATAAAGAAAAATAAACATTTGATGTGTTATAGTCCATTCTAGTTATTATCCTTATGGATTTTCAGATTGTCTTCATCTGATTAAGAGGACACCCATTAAGAAGCTTCCAGAGTCTGGGTGGTGCTGGTGGTGGGGCATACCTTTAATTCTAGCTCTCAGGAAGCAGAGGCAGAGGCAGGCGGAGTTCATGCCCAAACTGGTCTATAGAGTGAGTTCCAGGATAGACTCCAAAGCTACAGAGAAACTCTGTCTTGAAAAACCAAGGGAAAAAGAAAAGCCTCAGAGTTCTTTTGAAATGGTTCTGTCTTAGTTACTTTTCTATTGCTATGATAAATAAAATACCCTGACCAAGGCAACTTAAAAGAAACCATTTAATCAGACTTACAGTGTCAGAGGATTAGAGATCATGACGACAAAGCAAGAACAACTGAGAGCTCACATCTTGGTGTGATACACAAGCAGGAGGCAGAGAGGAGCACATTGGCAATGGAATGAGTCTTTTGAAACCTCAGAGCCCACCCCCAGATACATACCTCCTTCAACAAGGCTTCTAAATCCTTCTCAAACAGTTCCACCAACTAGGGACCAGATATTCAAACCTATGAGCCTGTTGGGGGGGGCATTTTCATTCATGCTGTTACATTCTACTCCCTGGCCCCCAAAGGCTGTAGCCATATCATTATGTTAAATACATTTAGTTCAACTTTAAAAGTCCCCATAGTTTCTCATAGTCTCCATACCATTTTAAAGTCTAAAGTCCAAGTCTCTTCTGAGACTCAAGGCCATCTCAATTTATAACATCTTGTAAAATCAAAAAGCAAATTACATACTTAGAACATACAATGGCACAGAGTATATATTACCATCCCAAAAGCTGAGAGCTTATGGCTTATAAGCAGGAGGCACACTGGTAATGATGGCATCCTTTTGAAGCCTTGAAACCTGCCCCTGTGGCACACCTCCTCCAACAAGGCCATAACTCCTAATCCTTCCCAAACATTTCCACCAACTAGAAATCAAGTATTCAAATATATGAGCCTATGGGAGCCATTCTCATTCAAACCATCACAGGTTCTAATAGGCTCTTTAATTTTGTTTTGCTTTGTGTCAATTTTGCTTTTTTGAAGCAATATCTCACTGTAGCGCAGTTGGCTTTCAGCTGAATCCTGCTGTCTCAGCTTCAGCCTTCCAGATACTGGCATTGTAGATATGCACCAGATTCCTAGCAGTCAGTCCTCTAGTACTGGGAATGAAACCCAAGACCTCACACTGGATAGGCAAGCCCTCCTTCACAGAGATACTTCTGCCTCTCCCCAGTCTTTTAGTAACTTTCCTGTTCTAGAACTGGAATATATCCTCTGACTGAATACTTATTTAAGGACCTATTTTTTTGTTTTATTATACATCCTTTTTGTTTTTTCTTACTATTTTTGTTTTGCAACACAGAACAGAACAGAGACAACTTCTCCAGGTTGTCCTCTCACCTCCATGTATTTCGCTTCTGAATGCACACATACACACAAAACAAATAGTTTTTTTTTTAGAAAGAAAGAAATGTAGGTCAGTGGTAGAGTGCTAGTATTTGTAAGATTCTGGGTTCAACCACCTGACACCTTGAAAACAGGGGAAAAAAGTGGTGAGGACTGGCAAACAATATCTGCCTTACATGGTTCCTTTGTTCTGGTAATTGCAGCTAATATATTTATGGAACTTCTCCCCTACATTTAGGAGGAGGGTGGCATTTTTTTCCATATATTTTTTATCTAACTTTTTACACATGTCACTTTCAGTTCCCTCTCCCTCCCCTCCTCTCCCACCCCCTAGTCCCCCCAACCCATCACCCCCATTTCACTCGCCCTCTGCTCCCCAGGGAGGGCAAGGGCCTCCATGAGTTATTTTCAGGGTCTGTCATATCATCCCGTGAAGGGCCCAGGTTCTTCCTCATGTGTCCAGGCAGAGAGAGCATCCCTCCACATGGTATGGGTTCCTAGAGTCCTTCTGTATGCCTGGAATAAATACTGCTCCACTCTCCCAGCTCCCACAGATTGCCAAGGCCTCCTCTCTGTCACCCAGGTTCGGTGGGAAGGTGTCTGGATCAGTCACATGCTGGCCCCTCAGTCATCAGTCTGGGGTCCATGTGTTCCTGAGGGTGGCATTTTTGGAAGAATTCTTGATTGATTTTTTTGTTTTTTGAGACAGGGTTTCCACTGTGTAGCCCTGGCTGTCCTGGAACTCACTCTGTAGACCAGGCTGTCTCAGAGATCCACTGGCCTCTGCCTCCTGAGTGTTGGAATTACTGCCCTGCTAGAATTCACAATTGTTAAGGATGGCATCTTATGTGCATACACCCACACATACATACAAATACAACCCCCCCACACACAAAAGTATAGTGTTTTAATGATCCATGGTTATATAACAAACTATATCAAAACAGTGATAAGATAGCCATCTTATTTTGCCTACAGTTTATAGATTAGTAATTAGGGATGAGGGTTTGAGAGAAAGCTCATTCAGTAAAGTGCTTACCACACAAGCCAGAGGACCCTAAGTGACCTTCAGAATCCACACAGAAAACACTGGGCTGGGAAGATAGCATAGTTAGGTACTTGTCTCACAAATGAGGACCTGCTGGGTATGGAGAGGCAGAGACAGAGGCTGCCTGGGGCTCACTGATCAACCATCCTAATTAGTGACTCCCCACCAACACACACACACACACACACACACACACACACACACACACACACACACACACACACACACACGCACCTTGGCCATTTTTCTGGCAGGATTGGTTGGTTGTATTTGAGAATCTCTGTATGACTGCTTTACTCTCTGAGCTGATGACTTAGGCTTGTTAGGGCTCTCATTTTCCCACTTTGGTAGTTCATTTTCTAGGTAATCTCCTGTCCTATGACCTCTGGAGATAACTACACTTCCTATATTTGTTTGCTTTTTTAGAGATGGGAAATAGAATCTACCAGGCTGCTTAAGGTCTCTCTTCAGAGCAGGCATAGTGTCATGGTCCTGTTCTATTGTTTAATCAGTCATGAGAGCTACTTACATTTAAGGATGTGGGAAAACAGACCCTATATCTTTAATTTTATTTTTAATTTTTGCCAGTGTTAGAGATTGAACCCAGTGCTTTGTATATATGCCCTAGACAAGAAGTCCTCTACCACTGAATTACATCTCCAGACCCTAGCTCTTGACAGAAGTGTCAAGGTCACATTTCCTTGTTTAATATGAAAAGCCTTCTGTACCTACCATTGAAGAAGAGGAGGATGAGAGATAATGTAGTGAATATCTTTCATGTTTGTTGCCTCAGTGTACTGTATTACTTGTGAGTTTGTTCTTACCTCAGAACTAATGAAAATACCGTAGGGCTTTGTTGAGGTTAAACAAATTACTGTTCTACTCTTCAAATGGCATTAATAGGAATAGACTAAGGTTGGGAGGTGGTGGTTCACACCTTCAGTCCCAGCACTCAGGAGCAGAGGCAGAGGCAGGCAGATCTCTGTGAGTTTGAGGCCAGCATGGTTTACAGAGCAAGGTCCAGGACAGGCTCCAAAGCTACAGAGAGAAACCCTGTCTCAAAACAAAAACAAAAACAAACAAAGCAATACAAACAAAAAAACAAAAAGAAAAAGGGGAATAGACACAGATTTTTTTAAATTCTGTCATTTATTTGAAAAAGTATGTCATTTATTCTTTTGTGTCATCAAATAAACCATCAATAAAGATAATAAAGACCCCAGACCGACAGCTGGGAGTACAGCATGGGACCGATCTGGACCCCCCAAATGTAAGAGTCAATGAGGAGGCCTGGGCTACTATGGGGTCCTGAGCAGTGGATCAGTGTTTATCCCTCAAATACTAACAGACATCGTGTGTCCATGACACAAAGAGGGTTGCTCTCTCTGCCTGGACCCTTAGGGAAGTGCCTGGACCCTACCCTGAATGAAATGATAGACTCTAGATATCCCCTATGTGGAAGGAATTGGCAATAGGGTGGGAGGATGGGGGGGGTATGGGAGGAGGGGAGGGAGAGGGAACTGGGATTAACATGTAAAACAAGCTGTTTAAAGTTAAAACAAAAAAAAAAAGAATGAGAAAAAATAATAAAGACATACACTGAGTACTTTTAGTACTTACTATGATTTTTTGTTTGTTTGCTGCGAAGCAGAGTCCGTGTTGTCCATTTTGTCCCTGAATACCTGGGCTTAGGTATCTTCCCACTTTCCTCTTTCAGAGCAGCTTAGTTTTTGATTTTTTGAGACAGAGTTTCTATGTGTAGACCTGGCTATCCTGGAACTTGCTCTGTAGACCAGGCTGTCCTCTAACTCACATTGAACTGCCTGCCTCTGCTTCAGGAGTGCTGGGATTAAAGACATGTGCCACCGCCACCTGGCTTTTAGTTTTTAAACTTACATTAGATTTTATTTAGTGAACAACATACAAAGAATCCCAAGTACCAACTAGAACCCTACAAAGAGCAGCACACTTCACTGTATAGTTCTGGAACTTGGTTTCATCCCACGATCTATCTTCTCTCCCTTGCCATACAAATTTAAAATGACTATGACTTAAACATGCAAAACAATCATAATTAAGCTGCAGTTATATAGTTTGGCCTTTGTTAAGTACTGTGTAAAGAAATAGGTTAAGTAACCTCTCTTTGAAGAAGTCTACTTCTGTGTAGAGAGGCAGGATCTCAGAAGTTGAAGTTAAGCAACAGGAAGCTGGATGTGGTGTGCACTTCTGTAATCCTAGCACTGAGGAGGTGTAGGCAGGAATAGCAAGAGCTCAGGGTTACTGTTTGAGGTCAAACCTGGAAGAAATCCTGGTTTAAGAAAACAAAATAAAACCAAGCCGGGCGTTGGTGGCACACACCTTTAACCCCAGCACTTGGGAGGCAGAGATAGGCAGATCCCTGTAAATTTGAGGCCACCCTGGTCTACAGAGTGAATTCCAGCACAGGTACCAAAGCTACACAGAGAAACCCTGTCTCGAAAAACAAACAAAAAAAGACGTGGCTTCGGGAAGTGGAACACTGATTTTTTGATGCATCTTGTATAAAGTATATCACCCACCCCAGATGTTCAGGGCCCTTTAGAGGTCTAATTGTTACTAGATTTCAGAACCTGTTTGTGATACTCAAATACTCTGATGTTCTCCAATTAAGTTAGCAGTTAAGGTGTTTGATGAAAGCACTTAATGTGATTATAGCCTATTATTTGCAGTGTAGTGTGTGTTCTCTGAAATAGCGTAGAACCCTTCTTTGCTTATTGTGTGGCTCCTGCTAGTCCTGCCTTAGAGAGGAGGGTAAAAGGTTGGGTGCTAGCTGCTTATCTCAGTCTTTAGCCTCCCTCTTTACCTGCAGACCAGATTGGTTCTATATAAGACTTTAAATGGCAAAAAGATTTCATTGATTAAAAAGTCTGCAAATGAAATTAGATTAAAACTAATCTGGCTATTGAATGGCATTTGTAGGAGCTGATTTTTAGCTGTAGACTTTTAATAATTATTTACAACTGAAATAATTTCATTACTTTCTGAATGAAAGACAAATCCGTAAGAAATGGTGTTGATATTATCTCCTGGCAATTGTTTTCATCTTGCTGTATAAATGATTTAACAATATTGAAATCATTTATCATAAAGTAGGAATAGTAAAATTACATGTTTTCTAATTGCAAAAGGTGAATTGGCTTCCAGTTAGAATCTTCACATAATTTTGAGTGTGTTCTTGTTTTGTTTTCTGTGCAGTTAAGAAAGATTGGGGGTGGGGGCTTTGGAGAAATTTACGATGCCTTGGACATGCTCACCAGGGAAAATGTGGCACTGAAGGTGGAGTCTGCTCAGCAGCCAAAGCAAGTTCTGAAGATGGAGGTGGCTGTGTTGAAGAAACTGCAAGGTAAGCCTTGAATGACGTGTTTGGTTTTGTATGATAGTTTATAATTGTTTTAATCTTCGCTGGTTAAGTTCTCTATACTAATGGACTGTTTTGGTGTCAGCTAGGTATAAATGTGCTGAGTATGTTTGTGTTGAACACTTTATTATATAATAGAAAATTGTGATTGCTAGAGTAATTGGGCTTTGGGAATTCCTTTTCTTCGCGTTGAGGATGGGAGATAATTAGAATCACCCTACTACTTTAGGAAGTATTGTTCTAAATCTGCTATGGAGACATTTTTGCACTTGCCTTTGTTTGTTAAACATTCTTGAATCATATCATGGAAACTATTTTCAAATTATACTTCAGGATGGGTTAAAAATGGTAAGTAAGGCTTTGTGTTCTGTGTGTTCTCATTAACTTTAGTTTCAGAGCATAGCTCATTGTTTTTGAAGTCATCTTACGACTACTCAGGTACCTATATTTTTACCAAAAGGACAAATTTTTTTTCCTGATGTCAATCTGATAGTCATGCACAACCCTAAGTATGTTGATAGTATCTTGTCATCTCTTGCGTTTAATGTGGTACACTGGTGTTACTAATATCAAAGATAGATAAGATTGATGATCATTGCTCTTTGTTCTAAGATTTCCAGTTATTCAAGTTTCTCTACTGGTTGTTTAATTGGATTATAATGTAATGCTAATAAAATTATACATTTCAAAGTTGTTTTTAGCTTAAATTTAACTTTCCCATAACATGGTACATCAGGAAGATAGTAGATCACTCAGCCCCCATTGTCACTGCAAAAAAAACCAAAGAATCAGAAAAAGAAAAACAAAGAAATGGATGGCTACCCTTCTCCCTTTTCTCTTCTGGTTTTTCTCAACTCAGTATAGAAGCCACAGATAACTGTTGCTGGGGCTGCCTCCTCCAGGGCTTCACAGAACCTGGATGATGTCCTCTAATACGGGCTGAGCCCGTAGGGGCAGAGATCATCAGCAGAGCTTAGCCTGGCTGATGCCGCTTCAATAGTCTCTCTCCCTGGCCCCAGGACATGGTCCTGGGAGGTAGGAGATGCTGCTGCAGCTCTTGCAGGAGTACTTTGGCCTTGCTTTGCTTAGGATTCCATATGATAAAGCTTAAAGATGTTTACTTCCTTTTGTGGGTAAAACTGTTGCTGGAATTCATCTTATGAGAAACTGTTGGGCTCTTCTTGTAAGTTTATTATTTAAAAGTTACTGTCAAAATGTTTTTCTTGTCTGTTCATGCTTATATGAACCCTATTCCTCAGAACCCTTACTTTCCACAAATGAATAGGTTTTTAATCTTCTGGTCAAAGAAAAGAGGCAGTCCTTGACATTCTTTTGGCTCCCTAAGGTAAGCCTCCTGCATACTTATGCGTCGAAACTTCTTTGTTGAGAATGTTCAGCATCTGAATCTTTGGAGACATTTTGTGATGCTGAGCTACTCTTACTTTGCTGGTGGCTCGAGGTGGCAAGGAGTGACTCCAGTATGTAAGAAGACTAGAGACTAGCTTTTTATGAGATTAGTTAGTATCCCAAGCTGACCTTGACCTATTGTAGCCAAGGATGGCCTAGAACTTCAGATCCTCCTGTTTCCCATCTCCCAAGTGATGGGATTACAGATGACTGCTACTATACCTAGCTGAGTGTGGCAAAAAAGATGCTTCTCTGGTTAGAGTTGCTGTCACAAACATAATTGTTTAGAGGGTAACTTGACTGGCACATTTATCAAAACAAGAGTAGCTTTCCCACTAAGGCTTACGATCTCCATAGCCACAAGTATTGACCTAGTTTACCGTGCCAGATGTGAGTTCCTTCCTGTGGAGTGGACATTAAATCCAATCGAAAGTTTTGTTACATAACATAGTTCTTTGGAAAGTAATTATAAAAAGGAACCCTTATAACAAACGTCATTGTTGCATCAGTGGTCTCAGCTTGCCTGGCCAGTTGGTATTATTGCACACAGGGTCCATAGCTGGGTAAGACTGTCGATGACAATTCTCTCCTAGCAGCCAGCCTAGCTCCTGGTACTGCAAAGCCTGGGAAGCAGGAGGAAGCTTTCCTGCCCAGTTCTGGCTTGGTTTCTCTCTGTCTTGTGTTCAAAGCTAATGACGTCTTCAACAATCAGGGCTTGCCATTTAGTTCTAGTGTGCAGCTACCAGTAGTGGCAATAGCTTGTACTATTTTGGGGGTTTTAGGAGCCTCCTTGGCCAGCAACTTGTCAGGAGGTGGCCCATTTCTGGCAATGAGACTTTTATTTAATAATCAGTTTGTGGGAGCTTCTTTATCCCCTCAAAACAGGAGAATTTCCTCCATTGAAATTCCTTAAATTTTTAAAAAAGGGGAGAAGAGAGAGAATATTTGCGTGTGTATGTTAGTAGTCACAGAGGACAGAATAAGAGGGCTTTGGATCACCTAGAACGGGAATTACAGACAGTTGTAAGCTCCCTTATGTGGTCTCTGGATACAGAATTCTAGTCCAGTGAAAGAGCAGCAAGCTCTCAACCATTGTAAGCCTCATTGAGCTGTGGTTTTTGTTTTTCAAGACACAGTTTCTTTGTGTAGCCCCGTCTGTCTTGGAACTCACTTTGTAGACCAGGCTGACCTTGAACTCATAGAGATCCACCTGCTCTGCCTCCTGAGTGCTGGGATTAAAGTTGTGCACTACCACCACCTGGCAGGAAGCATTAGTGTTCTTTGAAGGTCTGATAAAATTTACTAGTAAAACCATCTGGACCTTGTCTTTTTTTAGTTAGAAGGTTTAAAATTATCATTTCAGTCTCACTGTTTGTTATAGATCTGTTTAAATTGTTTCATTTTTATTTGGCATGTCATGTGCATCTAGAAATTCACTCCTTTTAGATTTTCCAATTTATTGACATTATGCTTTCAAGGGAAGATTTAGTGATTTTCTGAATTTCATTGATACCTCTTGCAATGGCTCACTTTTCATCTCCAATTCATTTGGTTAGTTTGGCCAAAATTTTGGTAACCTTGTTTATTTTTTCAATGAACCAACTCTGTTTAATTGCATCTTTGTATTCTGTTAGTTTCAATTTCATTAATTTCTTCTCTGATTATAGTGATGTCTTTCTGTCCACTACTTTGAGATTTGACTTGTTCTTGGATTTCCAGGCCCCTTAGGTGTATCATTATTTATTTCAGTGCTCTCAAGTAATCCTTTTAGGATTGCTTTCCTTGTATCTCACAGTTTTGTTTTGTTGTGTCTTCATTTTCATTTTATTTTAGAAAATTTTAATTCCTTTTTGATTTCTTGAAGGGCTCATTCATCATTCAGTAGTGTGTTGTTTAATCTCCATGAGTTTGTGTTTTAGGGGTTTTGCTCCATTGTATATGATGCAAAGAATTATTTCAGGTTTTTTATTATATATATATATATATATATATATTATTTGGTATTTGTTGGGACTTGCCTTTTGTCCTAATGTGTGATCAGTTTTTGGAGAACATATAATGGGCTGCTGAGAACATGTATTCTGTAGAATGTAGATAGATTGTTTTATAGAGATCTCTTAAGTCCACTTGATCTCTAATATCATTTAATTCATGTATGTCTCTGCTAGTCTTTTGTGGGGAAGACATGTCAGTTGGTGAGAGTAGGGTATTCAGGTCATCTACTGCTGTTGTGCTAGGGTTAATCTTTGGCTCTGCATCTAATAATTTTTAATTAAATTTGATATAGCTGTGTTCATGGCATATATGTTAGGAGTGTATATCTTTGTAATGGATTGTTCCCTAGTCAGCATCTTTATCTTTCCTCACTATGTTAGATTTGAAGCCCATTTTGTTAGATACTAGAAGAGTAACACTTGCTTGTTTCCTAAGTCCATTTGATTGAAATCCTTTTTGCCCTAAAGTAGTGTCTGTCTATTATGTGAGGTGTGTTTCTTGGAGGCAGCAAATACATGGTTCCTGCATTAGATATAGTTCAGTTGTCAGTATATTGATTGGGGAATGACGACCAGTAACTCAGAGTTATTGTTGAAAGGTGTGTATTGATTGCTGTCATTTTGTTGATTTCTGCAGTGATCTTTTCTTGCATAGCTGCTATTCTAGTATCACTTATTTTATAGAAAGATTTGTTTTTCTTTTCAGTTTGAAGAATTCTTTAAGTATTTTCTGTAGATCTGGCTTAGGATGATAGATTCCTTTTGTCTGCTTTTATCATGGAAACTATTTCTCCTTCAGTTACAACAAATGTCTTTATTGGTTATAGTAGATTGAATTGACAGTAGTTTTTCAGCATCTGAAATAAGGCTAATGAGATAGGTCAGTGGATAAAGGCTTTTACCACCAAACTTGATGACCTCAGTTCAATACCAGAGTCCCACATAATGAAAGGAGAGGACAGACTAGCAATGCCCTCCAACCCTGCACTTCTCTGTGTCTCTTCTGATCCTCTCAGGTCAGGTGTGTGTGAGGAGCTCTTCCCTTACAGTCTGCTGCTCTCCTAGGCAACTTGATTTCTGCCAGCAGTGAGCATGCTGCTAGTTTTCTCAGCTTTCCGGCAAGAATCTCCCCCTTGCTCACTAAGTTCATTTACAGACCTTGTCTCTTGATGGATACAGTGGACACTTTTCAATTTTGTGGTTTCATGTTGACCAGGAACTCTCCTTGTAGACCAGGCTGCCCATGAACTCACAAAGATCTGCCTGCCTCTGTCTCCCAAGTGCTGGAATTGTTTTGAAAACAAATCTGTATGCTCTTCTAAATTGCAAGTGTCCCTCCCTCTCTCTCTCTTTTACTGAGGTATTGAGACAGGGTTTCTCTATGTAGCCCTGGGTGGCTTGGAACTTGCTATACAAACCAAACTGGTCTTGAACTCACAGAGATCTACCTGCTTCTGCCTCTGTCTTGCCTCTGCTTTTCTACCTCTGCCTCTCTGACTCTGACTCTCAAGTGCTGGGGTTAAAAGTGTGCATTACTATGCCTGACAGATAGTCAATTCTTTATTTTAGTGGAAGCAGTTACTT